CACACTGGACTAAATTACTGATGCAGTGCAGCATAGACAGAGTTTACCCCAGGAACTCATCAGCCCTGTATCTCAGCTGTTTCCCCTCCCTCACAACAACGTTGGTACGACAACAATGTAAAAGGTCTGTTGGTCTGAGCTCCGAGGTCCATCGACTGACTTGACGGTTATGATTGGCTGGGTGCTTTGTTACTTGTTACGCTTCGCTTGAGTTGAATAAGTTAGAAGAATTTCAATCAAGAGGAATATATCCCCTTGTTGACTTTGGGCTCTGGAATCAATAGGCAGTCAACACTTTGAGCTTAGGTTAGTTTGCTTCAGGGCAACAGATTCCTCATCTCTCACCAAAGCATAAACTCCTGGGTCCTTCCTGCCTACACACACACAGCAGACACCAGTATTTGTTATGCTCAAGACTCTCGTCATTTTGAAAAGGTACACAGCACGGGGAGAAGAATAAAAAATATTGTCCTGGCAGGAATTCAACAGAGGTCTTAAAAAAAGGGTGTTGGTTGGGGAGGGAGGTATTTAAAATTCCTCTTGTGAGGACTTGGTTTCTATGTTTTAAAATTAGGGTAAATGCCAATAAGATTTTCATCTTGTACTTTTACTACTTTTACTGGGGGAGGTCGGGGTCAAGGGATCAGGCACACACTGGACATACCAAACATTTACACTAACACTATATCTACGGTTGATTAGTGTTTTCTAACTTTATACTGAATCTGACAGTGAAAAAAAAAATATATATTTACAGAGCAGCCTCTATCTGAATGAACTCATCACCACACACACAAATATACAGACATCCTGACTTACCAGACTTACCATTGTCGAATGCTAGGAATGTGGCTTCGTACACGTTGTTTTTGACGTACATGGACTCCCGGTCCAGTAGGGCCATGGTGGTTATTTGACCGTTTGTCCTGTTGATCTTCAGCCAATTAGCTGGGTCAGACAGCTTAGAGTATCTGTATATCCACAAACATACACACACAAACACACACACACACACACACATCCAAAGGAACAAAGTTTAGGAAGATATATAAAAATGCACTTTTTACACAGCTGTTGATTTTCATTGATCAGCTCCAAACATTACGGTAGTGAACCAATGACAGCAAAGTACCCCAGAGTAACATTGGCTGTGGTGCATTTTCAAAAGAACCCATTATGTACTGGCAACACGTGAAAGAAGACAGATAGAAATCTAACCCCTGCACAGAATGGAAACAACTTCACACCTCTTTGATTCTACAAAGACACTGAACTCCCATCACTGTCATGCCCTGACAGCATGGAGGCTGACAGTTACAACAACAGTCCATAAATCCCATCAACAACTTCAACAGAGTTTAAACATCTGACTAACCTATCCCCCATTTGTGACAAGTTGTAATTAAAGGACTCTCTGCAGCTGGTGCAACATATCACTGCATAGATCAAGGTGAGAAACAAGGTGGGAAAGTAAGATTGTAGTTGTTGGTAAATGTTAGTGAGGTCAGTATAGTAAATCTCATGCATAAAGAGATTGCTTGACTTTTTATATACATAAGAATTTTAATGTAATAATGGCATAAATTCACTTGAAGAAAATAACCTTCTCATCTATGACATTAAAAGAACAAATTATAGTATGGAAATACAACTTAATATACACAATACTTTTGGCAAAAACGCACAGGCTGAGAGAAATAATCTCATAAGAGAAGCTCTGTTTCATGATGTTGGGGCCATCTTTTCACAGAAGGTCAAAACCGTTTTCATCCACTCTGAAATGAGCTTTGAAACTCTTATTGTACAGGCAAAGCCATAGAATCACTCTGTGAAACTCCTTTTATTTTCTTTACCTTGAAAAATGTGATGCATCCAGACAGCTGTAAAGATACTGAGAGATTTATGGTGCTGGATGTGCTTTCCAGCACCAGTTCAATTTTTTCTTAGTTCTCTTAGTGCAGTCTGAGAACCTTCCTGCTAATTAGATGGGCTACTTTGGTTGCTTAGTTACGGCAGGTACAGTACAACAATAGAGCAAACTATTAAAACAAGTGAAGGCCTAACACTCACAGTTGTACTTACTTCAACTGTAGACCCATCATTTTCCCTTTTAACATAAATGTCTTAAAAGGTTCAGTTTTATACAGGCCCTTTTTCCTTTTTTTTTTTCCTTTAGGTAGAGAAATAAAACAATGACAAGATGCCGTGCTGCGTGTGCCTTCATGTGCGTCTGTGAGTTCAGGTTGGTGGATATTTGTGTGCGAGTGTTTGCGAGTCTACATTTTGTTTCTCTTGTGAATAGGTTGCACGGGGATTCAAGGGAGGTCACCTCAAAGGAATAGAGAATCAGCAAGTGAGACGAAGCTGTCTGAGCAGTAGCTGAACCTCTGGTGGCAGACTGCTTTTGGAGTAGACGGTAGCTCAGAGCTCACATCAATAACAGACAGACTGGCAGAGAAAAAAAGCCTTAGATGGAGTTGGAGGGATGAGAGAAAAATAGAGTAAAAGCAGTTCCTTCTCTCCACGGGTAAAGCCCACTGAGTCCACTTAGTTTGCATGACATGTCTTTTCAGGAGGGGAAACCTGAGACGTGGATGTTGCTCAATCCTCTGCAGCTACTTTCTTTATAAGAGTTCATATCCCACCCCCTCACAAACAGTTCAGTAACATTTCCACTGGATTGCACAGTTGGAAGAGGTCGTCTCCCTGACATTAAGAAAAATCAATCACTCTCGCTGAAGCCAGTGATGAAGCGGAACAGTGCCACTGGACCTTGGTGGACATGTGGGAGTCTCTGTCGCACGAGGTCGATGAAGGGATGGTATGATGCCCACTCTCTGTCAGTCCTTTTAGGAAGAGATGTAGAGAGCGATCAATAGGGAGGAGGGAGGGAAGAAAAAAGAGACAGAGATCTAAGGAGGGTCGACACAGTGTCCAGCTCATTACAGGCTGACCTCCTCACACCAGTCGCCGGGCAACAGTGAAGTAAGTGGACCGTGGGATGTGGGTGTGGGGTCAGTTGGAAATGTCACAGACCAGGGATAAACTGTGATGAAAACTGACCAACACTGATTAAAAACAAAGATTCAGGAAGTGGTGTAATGCTGAAGATAACCTCTCAACAGGTCCTTAGGGCACAGTAAGGGGTTAACCAAACCCAGAAAAAAAAGTCAGAAAAAAAATATTCTGAAGATTTTGTTCATCCCTGTGTTCAAGTAATCCTGTACTCTATCTAAAGTACAAATATAAAATATATGAAATCATTGGGCAAATTGTGAAAACAGACAGCCACTGTTGTCGAAAAAGCTAATATGTGATGGTTTGGAAGTGCACCGGCAACCATGGTGCTGAGGCAATTGTTTGAAATTTAGAGAGGGATGTTTTATCCCAAGGCGATGTCCTCTCCCTGGTCACCCATGGATTTGCAACAGTAAAATTCCACCTCTCATACTGCACAAATCATCACCCTCACGAGGCAGCCCTGTGGCCTAGCGGTTTTGGATTTGCCTAGTTATCAAAGAATCACATGTTTGAATCACATCTGTGTGGCTGTGGTGTGTTGAGCAAGCACCAACAGTACCCCACTGCCCAGGCACTCCCGAGGCTGCTCCCCAGGGATGGGTTAAGTGTAGAGGACAAATTTCATTGTTTGTACTGTATGTGTGTTGGTATACGTATGTACATAAATTGTCCCAAAGCTTCTGGATACTTCCAAGGATATGTAGATGTGTGCAGACTTCTCATAAACACATGCTTCAAATAACAAACTCTAATTTCTAATAACTCATCTTTGATTCTGATGTAGCTAAAGCAATTGTTTCTTTAATAAAATTCAGTTTTTACCTGACTATCTGGTGGATGAAGTGGTCCGGATCTTGGGCAGAGAACACAGTCAGAGTGGTCCCTGCTGGTACACCTTCTTCAAAGCGGATCATTTTGGGGTTGACAGGAAAGACAGGAGGCTCGTTCACGTCCTGCACTGAGATTGTGACTCCTGCTGTGGACTGGAGTGAAGACTGAATCCCGCTGGCCAAATGGGCCTGGTTGGACACCACCACAGTCAGCATAAAAGCACGGTTCATTTCAAAATCCACCGGCTACAAAAGAAGGAGGAAGACAGAAATATGAGAAAACAGGGAGAGGATGAGTGAGTCTGATTGTGAAATTATCTCTAACTGTGTTCCAATTTATGAAATGACAGTCAATTTGGTGAAAACAATGCAAGATTATGTTCTGAGCCACCAACATCTGGCTCCTCTACGCAGATGGAAACATGTAAGATGCAGTGTTGAATCAAAATGGGAATAAACCTCTGCTTCATACTGGGAGTTTTTTTTTTTAGTTTCAAAATAAAAAGTGAGAATCTGGACTGATCCAGTCTTTACCTTGACCACTGTCAACATGCCCTCATTGGTGATGGGATTGGTGCGGATGGCAAAGTGTCCAGAGGGGTCTCCGCTGACGATGCGGTACACGGCGTTCCAGTTGGGACTGTGTGGCTGATCTCTGTCCACCACTGTCAGGTTGGTCACAACCACATTCACCTTGTTCTCTGGCACCTCACCAGAAAACTGCAGAGTGGGTGTGAAGAGGGTGAGAAGAGGGGAGGAATGTGGGAGACAGAATGGTGATAATGTTGTAGAAGCTGGTGGCTAATGCATGTTAATAAGCTGACTCATTTGGATTTCAATTTGGTTTGTGTAACCCTTAATCTGTAAACATATCCCTTAATTGCGATAATGAAAACAAACTGCTTTTTGGGTCAGCCAATTATGCTTGTTATATTAAAAAGCAAACAAAAAAAGTGTTCGAAAAACAGATGGAGGACAAATTAGCAGAGAGAAAGAAGAGAATAAAGCAGACAACTGAGAATCATAGCTAACATTATTTTAACACAGTCTCTCAATCCACACTGTGTCGTCTCATATAAAACTCCTTATCTGAACTAATGGATTTGTTCAATTAAGTGTTTACCCATGTAATTTAGGTCCTGCGCTTTCACCAAATCTGGGGCTTAATACGCAATTAGATAAGTACTGTAATTAAAGCAGCGGTAGGAATAATCTTTGGCTAATGATCTTCATTATGTTGAGATGTGAAACAACCCCCCCCCTGAAATAACTCTAGAGGAAACTTGGTGACAGCTGCACAGCCCATAGAATAATTTACAGTGCAATGGGATACATGCTCCTCTCTATAGGCAGTCATCTGGCTAAACACACACACACACACACAGTAACTGCTCTCATTGCCAGACAATAATCTGTGTTTCCTCTTGTGAAGCGTTAACTTGTTTATGGTGTGTGTCTGCCAGCTGCTGTTCACTTTAATGGCTCCATCTTTGTAGAACTGAAGCCGTGTCCAAACTACCCTCTTCTTCCTCTCTTCCTATCCCCTGCAGTGTGACCAAGCTGATAAGCGCGGAGCAAATTAAATATGCACAGCCATTCTCTGTTGTGTTGGCTCCACCATTTCATTTTTTTACCCCGAGGTTTAGCACAAACACCACCACAAATGGTCCAAGCTTTGGGCCTCACTGCCAGACAACCAAACAGAACATGCTCTCTCACAGTAGCAGGAACAATGGTGCCAACTCTTGGGCCGCATGCTTTCCAAATGGTTACTCTCCTTAAAATGCAACGTGAATCCACTAATAAGCCACCAGAGACAGACTCTAGGTTTTGAGAGGATTTTGAGGAAGAGATGGGAAGAAGGGCAAATTAACTTTTACGGCTAGAAGTTTCCAGCTTTTTGCACTCACTCTATGAGTTGTAACCAGGGTTTAAAGTAGCAGGGCTAGAATCAATCACCATTGGTCTATTTATTAGTGTTTCAAAATTTGGGATTTATTGATTACCGGTCTATTTTCTCTAAAACATCTAATGTCACGTAGTTGATAAACATAAAAAAAAAATAGAAGAGGTTGAACACCAACCAGAGCAGTTACAAAATTAGGAGAAGCAAAAAAAAAAAACAAAAAAAAAACATGAAGCTGTTTCAGAAGTACATTTATACCACAGAGCACTGTAATTCTTACTCCAGGAATATCGCTGTTAATCTTCATGACAAACTCCCTTCTCTGGATGTTAATCAGAGTGACTGCCTAAAAGCAAATGCGAAGCAACTGTGTCCACATGTTACGCATCTCTGTGTGTCCCAAGGGCAGTTCTGACATTAATGTCTCCTCTAACACTGATAAAGAAAGATGTAGTCCACCATCTTTGACCAGGACATTCAGACAGAGTGAATCTTAAATGGTCTATTTTCTGTGGTCTATGATTGTTTAACTCTAATTATTTTTATTAGACCTTTTGTCATTCTATGTGAAAATGTATCTCCTTATTTTGCTGTGTTTGTCCTTTCCTTCACCCCAGTTTCTGATTGACTGGGAGGGCCGGTAAATGGTACTTAATGACCATCTGACATAAAAAACTCAACAGTGAAGTCTCCAATTTCTCTTTCTTGTATAGCATGAGTGACTCAGGTATTTGGGTATAGCTTTTATTACTAGTATTGGCAAAAACTTTAAAAAAGAAAACAGAAAGAAACATATGTTTTATGTGCTGGGTGTTTTAGCTGGTTTTAGATGCAGCGATTGAGATGCCACTGATGGTGATGTTGTAACTTTATAGCAGGTACAGACCACATGTCAATAATGGAAAACTCTGATAACAACAACAACAATACTCTGATTTAATTCATACTTAAATATATCAACATCAATATATCATTCATACGTATAGTATAGTCAGCCTTCTGTGGTCAGTTTAAAACAATTATGATTTTAACAGGAACTTGGATAAAAGACACAGCCTCACACTGAACTAAACTAATCTCCCATTTTACATACAGTTTTCACATTGGTGTTCTCTCCACACTATGATTTACAGTTCAATCTTGAGAAATTGTGAGGTAGTGTTGTTCTCAACTAAATTCAGATGGCGAAATAAATATGCACCGAGGTGCAGAGCACAGCAGGGGGAAATCTGCTGCTTCCATCCTAAAAACAGACTCAGCAACTGATAACTCCTCATTTTAGAGGCAAAGCTAAAGCTCACCAAGACTAAATTGTCTGCTTCTCGCTCATGGTGTTCTGAAGACAACTTGAAATGGAAATGGCAGCATTAGGTTGAATAAACGTCCTCCGAACAGATTCTTACTGACGTGAGAGTGACATTAGTCCACTTAGGATGACTGTTATATCTTCACTCGGGTAATAAAGATGCAGCTGTTGGTATCAGGCATTAACCTTCTAGTTATTTTTCTTCATAAATGGACACATCGTTCTTTTTATTATTTTTTTTCTGTTATTTTTCATAACATAAATCTGAATCAATGTTTTAAAAGCAGGTGAAGGAAGTGGAAGCCAATAATCCCTGGCAGCCTAACTCTGTGGGTGAATAACAAATAGCTGTTCATAAACCTTGTGTGTCAGGGAGTCCCACCTCCCTCACCCTCTCTCCCCCCCCTGCTGGTGCAGGGGTGTGAGTGACAGACCACTGGGAGTGATGGTGTGATGTGCTTAATTAAAATGTTTGATTAGATTGATTGTGGTGAGTATGACTGTCTTTTTCTTTGACACACAGTGACTCACACTGCACTAAAATGGCGCACAGAGGCCTCTGTGGTGAAATGAATAAAACATCTGCCTTTTTTTTTTAAATTAGATGCAATATTCCAACTTGGTTTACACCCCCACAAGCAATTCCACTTAATTAGTGTGCTTTCAGTTTTCTATATGCCTCCTGTAGAGTGCAATGAATTTCATTCTACTCCAGTCTGTAACACACAAATAATTACTGAACTGCTGAAGTATATGCATGTGTGGGATGCGGAACAAAAAGCACAGGACTGACAAAGCAGCAGAGAAAGCACCTGGTGAAAAACATTTTTGTTGCCGTGAACGCTCCCGTGAAAGTGTGGAATTGTCCATGTTTAGGCGAGGGAGCGGTAAAACAGGCACATTTTAACTTGTAATTTATTAGTGCGTCATCGAAATCGCTGACAGACAGTTTTCCACCTGCTCTTTTACCGTCAGGCTGAAGAATTCCTACTTATGTCTTGTTCATACGGTACATACGTGTGCATGTCTCTTCATCGTGTTCCGTGTGAGTCAAAGATATGCCTGCTGAAGCGGAGCACATCATTTTCTGGCAGGCAGGAGGACTCTGGTCCAGAGTCTCTCCCCTGTGATGAGCTGTGATGGAGCTAACTCTACAGACGTGGACAGAGCAGCTTTGAGAGAAGCAGCATCCTCGTTCACTGAGTTCTAACCCTGACAGCTGGGGAGCTCTTATCAGAGAATGCGGCTGGAATTATACCCCATGCACACTGATGACGGCCCCGCCGAGGAGGCAGGAATCATGGCGTGTGAAGCTGACACATTGCCTCTCACTCTGCCCCAGAGCCCTGTTTTAGGCAGCATCTGTCTCTCTCTGGAGCCTAAGAAATGCAAGAGCTCACAAAGAGAAAAGCTGCAATCCAGCTTATGGGTCTGTCAGGCTGCGATGAGCATAAGATTTCTTTCCCATAAGCTCAGGATACAGACTATAGATGCAGTGGTAAAGGAAACAGAAATGTGCACAGACTTTACTGATTGCATTAAAGGCTATTCTAGAATTACATTTCATGCACAAGAAGATGATCAGAAAGGAAATGTTTGTCTACACATACATGTGTAGTCTCTTAAAAAAAATCCCAACATCATATATTTACTGTATAATCAAGAAATGTCTGTAATTTTATCTGTGGAAATACTTTCTGAGGTCTAAATGACAGGCTTAATTATACTAAATAAACATTTACAGTATGGACAAAGGCCAAGGACAGTGGTTCCCTAAGGTTCAGGGACAACCAACAATTCCATTAGTGCTAAAATAGACAAAACATTCTGCAACAATCCTCCGAAGATTAGTATCTTTATATTAAAGGAACGATGACTTCCTGGTTTGAAGATGAGGTCAACTTTAATTTAGTGTTTAAGTTAAATGTTTAAGAAGTAGAATTTAATCAATCAGTGCAAACTTTCAAAGTCACTTTTACTTGATAAACAATAATTCAAGTGCCTTACTAAATGTGATAGTTATTTTATTTTGACCAAGCGTACCATTTTTACATAATTCATTTTTCACATAATTACCTGTGATCAAACGTGTGGGCGTCTGTACATAATTAACCTGGCATAGGCATATTCATGTTTGCAGCATTTGCTTAGAAACTGCTTGGAGATGAACAGCAGCAGCAGCTCGCTCCCCAAACAATTGTTCTCTGAAAACGCAGTGCAGAGCTCCTTTGTGCACAAGAAGAACTACGCAACAAAGGAGGCTTTTTGTCCTACGCTGCAGCAGAAGTGAACACCTCCAGCACTTCTTCCACCAAATGAGCGTTAAATCGGACTAAAAACATTTCCGGTTGTCTGAATAAACAGACTCTCTCCTAAAGTTCAGGGTCTTTTTAAACCCTCACCTTAACCAACACACACACAATAACATACTGTACATTCAACTATTTTCTTCTTTTCTACTACTAAAAAAAATAGGGCAGCTGATCCGCAGCTATCTGACAGATCCATGTGGAGATGTCAGGAACTTAGGCCAGATGCCTTCAGACAAACTACAGGCCACCAGAGGCACTGAGAGCTATAGGTGAGATATAGGTGGATAAAAATGGAAAATGTATTTTTCCTTTTTTATTCTGAATAAATCAGCCGCTTTGTTTTACATTTTCTTTTTTTTTCATCACAAATTTGGCTTAAGTAGCTCTTGCCCTATGTATTCGTCCCGTATATAAGGCTGACAGTGATGCAGTGGAGAATTATTTATGTATTAGCAACATGTTTATTTATAATTTTTACATGTTGAATTCTTCTTTAGATGAAGCCCATCTATTGATCAGCTGTGGTGTCGTCACAACTGTCCTCTACTACATCCATGAATCCACTCTTGGATCATCCTCATTTCCATCTCCAACATCCACCGTCCCAAGTATATCTGTCCAAATGGTTGAACAGCCTCATTGTTTTTTGTTTTTGTTTTTTTCCACACAAAGCTTTGATAATGTTACTTCATACTTTGGTCCTTTGCTTTCACAAAGACAGAAAAACAAATAATAAAAAAAATAACACCCGGAGATAAAACAATATTAAAAGAAACACCACTATAGTGAAAACAAAGATAGTCTTTAATTTTTAATAAAGAGCCTTGAAATGAACAACAATGTAGGCCAGCAAATGAAAGGGCTAGGGCAGACACCAGATTTTAATAATAACACAGGGAGCACAGAGAAGAGATATTGTTCCTGCTGAGAAATGTAGAAAATTGCATAGAAATGCAGTGCCTACACTCAACAGCCTTTACAGTCTGTATAAAAGACAATGTTCACACTGCAGATAAATTATTTTCCCCTTCGAATCACCACATACTCTGTTTCCACTGTTAAGTAAACAGTGACATGTGGGAGTGCAAATAAAGAACCTTCCTGCCTACTTGTTATTACTACCTTGTGTTAAAGAAGACATTGACTTCTGTCATCTGTGATTTAAATTTTAACAAACAACGCCCTTAAAATGAAGGAACTACAATCAGGCTCCTGATTGAGATAAAACAGCAGAATCCCTGGTCCTACAAGACGTCCATTGTTCTCTGCCAATGGATAGTTACAATTTATTATTAAAAAATAAGAGGAGTGAAAAAAAAGTGATTGCACAGCAACACAGCAAGTTTTTTCTGCAGCTGTTTCTTAAAGTTTTAATGTAAACATTGGTGAAATTGTGGACTTACCGTCCTGACGGTCAGCTCTGGTGGATTGTCATTGATGTCAGTGATGGAGATGAGAGCTGTGGCCGTGTTGGACAAACCAAAGTTCAAGTTTCCTTCCATATCTGTAGCCTGGACGATGATGGTGTACTGGGAAACTTTCTGTAAAAGAAAAAGATGGAAAAAGTTTGTAAATAGTAAAAAATCCTTGCTTTTTTTGTTATTTAGGGGTAATACATTGCTGTCAGAGGCAATTTTGAGACATTCTTTACAGATATACATGCTCTAAAAAGTTGTAGTATAGTACATATGTGTCAAACTCAAGGCCCGTGGGCCAAATGCCAGCCAGCAAATAATTTTGTGTGGCCCACAGGAGCTTAAAAAGTGTGTTAATTGCACTAAAAAATATTTTCTGCTCAGTTTCTTAACCTGTTAAGGTATTTTGAGCCCAAACTACTCTATGTATATAGTGTTATTTAGAGGTATATGTGGTTCAGGACAAAAGTCAGAAAACAACATGAATAGGAAGAAAGTCCGTTCAGGTCAGTGTTCTTCACACTGGGTTTGCTAGTCTGCCTAACATCCAAGTATGGCTCCATTCGACAGACGTATGTGTATTTGTTCCTAGACTAGACTTATCAAATGTGCTGCAGGGTCGTACTTTGTAAAAGTCACTGGCAGTGAGGTCTGCCTGGAGGAAAGAGAACAGAGGGCCTGTAAATATACATGGGATGGTTGTTACTTTATATCTTTTAGTTGTGTTTTTTCCCCCTCTGGTTCATTGTGTGCTCTTTGTTAACTTACATTCCACAGTTCTTTTGATCTTTCACTATCTTTCTCATCACATCTTCGTGCTCGATCTTCTCCGCCTGTCCGCTCTCTGTCTATTGCTCTGCCAGTCTTTTTATAGTCCCTGTGTATCTTTATATCTATTCTCTCCCTCCCCATCTCTCCTTCCCTCCTCTCTCCCCCTCTTACTGCCTCCCACTCTGTCTGTTTTTTCAGTAGGGGAAGGAAGCAGTTGATTGTTACATCAGTCAAACCTCTAATACCGGCTAAAATGTGCGTCTAGAGTCATTTTGCATCTCCCCAACTTGCCGTGAAGTGTGCAGACATGTTAATCTGCACAAAACCAATCCTATTAATGAAAACTCAATACTGGCTGCCCTTTATTAGACTCATAATGAAATATCAATAGCATCTCTTCGCACAGAGCGCTTCAGTAAATAAAACCATCCCTGAACGTGTGTCTCCACAGACTCATTTAGGTCCGGTCACATACATCAATCGAAAAACAGCAACGGGAGGCTGTATGAAGCAAATAGACCTGGAGCTGTGGCAGGCGCTTGTTTCTCCAGTCAGGTGAAGAGAAATGACTGGAGCACAGCCAACAGATGGAGCTCTCTCACAGCAGGGGACAGGGCTAATGTGTCCTATCCTGCAGGGTTATATGACACATCCGAGGGCAGTTGTAAGTTTATGGCCCTTCTAGAGCCCACATGCACATCATCCGCTAATGTACCAGTGAGTGGTAACAGGTGGGTCACTCACACACTTATTGACATCAGGTACACACGAGCTAACACACACACACAGGTGCGCGCACACACACACTGAGACAGAGCCACACAATCTCCAAAAGTGGCTGTGCCTGGACAAGCTCGTAAATGGCTCTCAAATGGGTGCTATTGAAATGCTGAACAGAAAATCTCTGTGACATTAGAGCCCAGACCTGGCAGAAAACAAAGCTTCTTGTCTGACAAATACAGCCGAGTATTTGTCGACTCCACTACCGGCCTTGAGTTTCAGAGGCACATTTCACGAACGCTGGAAAATATGTGATTCAACAAGAAAGACCTGTTCACAGAGCTCTGCCACCTCTGGTAACCCATACATTTTTTGACAGGGTACAAATTAGGTTGTTTACCACACAGAATAAAAAAAAATGGTCCACCAATGGTAGGCTTTTAACTTTTTGTCTTTTATGTAATCGAAAAGATTGGAGCTTCAAAAGATTCTCCCAGCAAAAACAACGACTGATGACTGATGGTCACAGTTTGTGTCGACACAGACACAGTAATGAATGAGTAATATCTGCCCTGCGTGTGCAGTTTTGCAGTACTACTGCAACAAAAGCAAGAAAAAGAGAACCCTGCAATTTAATTCTGTTGTTTGAGGCTAGTGTTCCGGTCTAACACTCCTTCATTGGCCACACTCATTAGCTTGTCACTTACAATCTGTCTCAAACTCCCCAGACTCCACTGGCTTGCTCCCCCTCAGTGACTCTCAGTGTCACTGACCCCCACAGGAGTTTCAGTTCACTACAGCTAAGATTATTTCAATTAAATTCTCTAGATTTATTGTGATGCCATTCCTCGACTATTCGTTGCACTTCATTTTACCGCAATTCACTTCAATTTATGTCAAATCTCTTTATTTACACACTAAACCGGAAACAACAGTCTGTGAATGTCAGATCACAGGTTAAGTTCACTGTAGAGGCAGTGGTCATGGTGACACGTAGGACCAGATGATGATGATGATGAGAGGTACAATATAGCCAGGGCACCAGGTGACACAAGTGAGACTAAGGACCAAGACACAGGTGAATGTGCTCACACTAACTCCACCCAGCAGACAAAACAGGAAAAGGAAACAGACAGCCCTAACACATACATTATTAGGCTCAACAGACACTCTAAATTGACATTAAGTATGAGATTCTTTAAGTTATAAAGATGGCGTGTAAATGTTTTTTTTTCCCTCTCTCTACTAATGTCACCCTGTAATAGACTGGTGAACCCTTCATTGTCTGAAGGGTTTTCATTAGATTCCAAATGTCAGTAAATCTGAGATACGACCTCTGAATCCACCTAATTAGGTACGCCTCCACATCCACACAAAGAGCTCAGAGTTGCACTCTGAAGCTTAAGAAAACACGTGCTAAAGCTGACTAAAGCTGCTGGTATGGCATTCACAGAGTATGTGGGGCATTACGCTAACCATGAAACACAAGAGATGGATGAAACAAATGTAAAGTCACCTCTAAATGCTGGAAGACCAAGTCATCAAAACGGCATAAATAGAAATAATATATATTTTTTTAAGATTGTGTTAATAAGTGCAGTAAAATACTTGGCTATGCTCTTTAAAATATTTTGCCATTACATGCACAGCACAGTGACACCTCGGATACCGCCTGAGTACCATTAGTGTAACACCTCAGGATGGAAATGTTTAACAATAGAAATAATAGTTATTACAATGACAGTCATGGCACCGTTTGTAACATGTACACAATTTAGAGCAATGCTCTTTACATTGGTATATTTTGGAAACCAGTCCTGACCTAATACTGTCCTGCCAAACTAAAAGGCAGGAAAAAGACCTAAGCGTCTAATTTTCAGCTTTGTAACAAATAAAAGAGAAATCCCATCACAAATTACTTGAAAAAGTAGTAAATGGAGATGTATACTAGCAAGTCTCATATATATATATATATATATATATATATAGTCTAGTATCAAGAAGAGATATTTTCTCTCTCTCTTTTTTTTTTTTTATCTATGTCTTTCT